AAGACCAGGAGATCGGCTTGGACCTGCAGTAGTTAAATGGCAGAGGAGACCCTCACGTGAGGAGGGTCCCAAAACAGCCAAGATTCGGCTTTGGCACTGAAGAACTGCAGAGTGGAGCTGCAGCTCCGGGGTGTCTGGGGCAGGGCTGTGCTGGGTGCTTCACCCGGCTGCCTTGACGTGCCTCGCGAAGTGGTGGAGAGGGGACTGGGGAGCCTTTTCACAGACCCTGAAAGACCTGGGGGCTGGAAAAGCTCGCCTTTGCGGAGGGCTGATTTCATGGGAGGGTTTTGCCCCGGTGTGTGTCTTGCGACTGTTTGTACTATGTTCCTCTCGGAAATGACCTCTCTGTGGTTGTTCTACTTCCCCGGGTTAACCCGTGCTTTCCCTGCCCCACTGCCTCCGCATCTTGGATTTGCCTGCCCGCAGGTGGCTGCTCGAGCCCTTTTTGGGAGGGGAGGAGCCGTCCTTTCGCTTTGTTTGTGTCCCCCTGCTCTCCCCACGCTCTGCACCTCTCGCCATTAAAGCAACCAGAGATAGGAGGCTACGGCTCTGCTTTTAAGTTGAATCTCTGCAGCTGAAATAAAATTGCATATATTTGCATAAGGAGTATCTCAATTAGCATATTTGTGGGTAAAGCTAAAAGGGCTGTTCATTTGGAAGTGAAAATGTGAGCGAAACATGGAAATGACTTCCAGCCCCCTTTGCAAGCAGCTTAATTAAATATTTCCTTAGTGTGCACGCATGGGTTTGGGAAGCTCTTGCTGTATATGGAATGGTGTGTGAAACCCCAGGGCGGGCAGGGAGCGCTGGCATTTGCACCCTTGGCTGCCTGCGCCCGCTGCTGCCCGAGCACCCGGGCTGTGGCTCCCACCAGCGCCGTCCCCAAGCCTCCAAGGTGACGAGTCCGCGGGAGGCGAGGGGTCCAGCCAGGCCCTGCCACCCCAGCATCCCTCTCTCCAGGAAGGTTCTCCTGCTGCCACCTCACACGGTGATGCCGTGTTTTCCCGGTCGTTTCCCGGGGGGTAGAGGCAGAGAGGTAGCTGTGATTTCGGAGCGGGA